GACGCTCTAACAGTATTTAGTCAAAACACTGAAGTGTTAACAGTTACTGTGACTCCTGGACAAACACGTGGACAGAACTCATGTTCAAGTTCAATCAGTATGTGAAAATTTGGTAAAAGAAGAAAGTGTAAAAAAGTAAAGTAATACTAAATACTGATGATAAGAAAAATGTTTTTCTTCTCTATGGCCCCCTACAAGAAAAATGTTTTTCTTCTCTATGGCCCTCTACATAGATGACCTTCAATAATGTGGATGAGGAGGCCACACATGAAGATATTTAAATAATATTAAAAGTTCAAAGATTTTTTTTTTTTCATTTCCATGATTGTGATTCAGACAGGTCTCTCAGGAATTTTCAATATCAGGTTTTGTCATTGTCAAGTGTTGAACAGTGTTAGGTTTTTCAACCTCCTGACAAATGACCAGTTTTGGTGCAAACATTTTATTTTTTACCAAACCAGACTACTGAGACTGTGTAACAATGTCTTTTTTCTTTGTCAAAAAACTGAGAGAAAGGATATGGCTGTCTCTCCTTACACAGGACAAGAAGCAGGTTGTGACCTGGTGTCGAAGACTTCTCCCAGAAATCCACGAAAACGTTATTCTGATACAAACACCAATTGCAGATCTAGTCAGACTTTAATGCAGTTTATGCTGAGTAATAGCTTGTTTTTCATGACTAAACATTTTTGGACTTGGCCTGTATAATGTATGAAGGGCATAACACATATATTTTGTGAAATTGGAATCACATAAATAAAAGGCAGTAAGTTTATAACACAGTATTATAAAACCTTTTAGCTTTAGTTATCAATGTTTTACATGCATGCTATAGTACACTAAGGTTCATTTTAAAACTCGCAGGGTTCAAAAAAAAAAAAAAAAATATTGGTGACACAAATGTTAATATTAAAACATACTTACCAGAGTGAACTATTTTTAATTATCATTTTCCTACAGGAAGTGTTTTATTGTTTTTTATTCCATCAAATAACCTCTTATTTGTATTAATAATACAATTAATAAGACATTAATTAATTTATTCTATTATACAGATTAAAAGGTACTGCTCAGGTTAATCTTGTGTTTGCCTGCTGTCATGATGTGACAGTAAAAATGATTTGCGTTCTAGTCTAAATGAAAATAAAAAGGTGTATTATATTTACAGAAAATGTTAACTGAAATACAGCAACATCAATAATATATTTTTTTTCAATTTAACTTAAATAATAATAACACTAATAATAATCATCAGATAAAAGATTGGTGCATGATGTCACTTCCGGCGGCTCCAGCGCTCATATCCGGTTATTGCCGACAATATGGCAGCGCCCTTATCGCTACACTTGGAGTTTGGGTAAGTGAAGTTAAAACGTTATTTTACCCGTTAACGCTTCTGTTTAAGTTTAATTCAAGAGAAAAGCTCCGGAGTATTTCAGAACAATGCATTTTATATTCAATGTAATAAAATAATAGTCTGTATTCAGCTGTTTGTAAACGAGTGTTTATTTCGGAATCGCGCAGTCGCTCGTGAGCTGTAGAAAGTGAACAGTGTGGGTTTTTTCACCTAGGGAGGGGGGACTGTCAGCTAATAATAATATTAGGAAATCTTTTCATGTCTAGTTAGTTTTTTAGAGACTAAATAGTAAACCAAAGCGGTCCAGCGAGACCTGAAAATATTTATTGTTGTTAAGAACGAGATCCTGGTTTTCTATGTCGGCTCTGCATAATTAAGAAAAGTTAATTAAATTATGTTTTAAGATTTTAATCTGGGATTTTGAGATAACAAATGTAATGAGTGCAATGTATCGAAAGACAAAACAGTATTTTAATGACGTTTCGTGGATGTATTGAACTGTTCTAATTTTGAATGTTTGTTTTGGTACTGTTGTTACCAGAACAAATCACTCAATCTCAGGAGTCTCCTTACATTTATGCAGAACAAACCTACATCTACTGGTGTTGTCTAACAATTCAGTCAACATCGATTGTTTATATGAGGGATTTACATATGTGAAGAGGAGGGTCTTAATCGTCCAATTTCGTTATTTTAGCTTAATATTTGGTTGTTTGTTTGTTTTTAAATAAATACATGGATGTTAAATTATTTTTATCAATCCAACTCTCTTGTTGTCCAGAGGGGGAGCTGAGCTTCTTTTTAACAGCGAAAAGAAACATCAGGTGTCCCTCCCAGGCCAGGCAGGACCATGTGAGTACCATGTCTGTCATGAAGTAGTGATCTGTTTTACAAACCCAAATTTCACAAAAGTACACGTCCTACAAATGCAACAAAGGCTACATTGTGTAACTAGAACATAGAAAATAATTATTAAAAACTTAATTTTTGGAGCCACATAGTAGATCAATGGTTCATGCTGTTGCCTTACAGCAAGATGATGCCCAGTTAGATTTCTAGTCTTTCTGTATGCAATTTGCGCCACGTGGTTTGGTTTATTGGTGTCTTGTAAATTTAACTGAATTTGTGTGTATTCAAGAACCTTTAAAATGATTTTGTTATCATTATTAAATATCACCAGACCCTGGGTGCTGTAGGTCAGTGATCATCAAGTGGTGGCCCACTGATTTTTCCAGCCATATTATTATTCATATTATTTGAGTCCAGCCCCCCAGGTGTCCAGAAAAAGTCTTGCCCTTTGACAAATATAGTGACCGCCGCTATAGGAGTATTACAGTAAACAGGTTTACAGTAGACAGTAAACCGTTATAGTTTGTCAAAAGGCTGAGATGTTACTCGATACAGACTCTAAATGTTCATTCAAACTGACCTGCCACGGTTGATGTTGTTGCTGTAATGTAGTCTGTGAGATGTTCATCTCTTAATTACTTTGACTCTATGACCAGAAAGATGTTATTCTAAATAATATAATATATTCTAAGTATGGTACTGGTTAATATACAAATATATATGTACATATATATATACTCTTGCTTTCTTCCTGTTTTTTGTAGTTTAGTAGTTTGCATTTTAATAGAAAAATATTTGTCAGTGTAAAAAAATGTTTAAATGGATGACCATATTTTAGCACCAGGGCTTGTAGATCAATGTACTCCAGTTACATACAGTATATACCTGAAATGATGTGTGTACACATAGGTTATAAAGGGAAGAGTAGGTCACAGATGTGTGTGCTGTTGGACTTAGACTTAACAAAGAGCTCTGACCGTGGTGCTGACGTTACCAGGACGACACAAAGACAAAAGTTGACCAGAGGAGGGAATGTGGGCCTTATGACCTTGCTGCACCGGGAAACCAGTATGTGTGTGTGTTGGACTGCTGATCTTAGATGTTATCATATAACAAATCACAGCGATTTCTTTTTGGCAAGACTGTCGCACGAGACTAGGTTTGCCAGCATGTGTGTGTGTGTGTGTGTGTGTTCCTGGTGTAGTTATACTTGTGGGGACACTGACTTTGTGGGGACATTTTTCAGGGTCAAACAGAGTGAGAGGGTCTTTTGATGTTTAAGGTGTAGTTTGGAGTTAGAATTAGAATTAATGTCAGGTTAAGGTTGGTGTAAAGATTGAAGAGGAGTGTTCTAATAGTAAGGGGAACATTTGTAATTGTTAAGGTTAGGGTCTGGTCTAGAGAATGTCTTGAGGGGCGTGCTCACAAAACACAAAAACGTGTGTGTGTGTCCATGTTCGTGCATGAGTGTACTTGTGTGTGTGGAGAGTAGAGGGGTGCAGTTATAATTGGTTCTGAATCCTTCCTATTTCTCTTTGACCCCGGCCACTGATTGTGTGTGTGTGTGTGAAAGACACCACCCCCCCTCTTTCCGTTCTCTTCTGTCTTTCTCTCTCTCTCTCTCTCTCTCTTTCTCTCTCTCACCCCCTCTCCCTTTGTGGTTCTAGGATCACACACTTTATTTTTTTTTGTAATTCACACAGAGATGGATCGCTCTCCCCTCCCTCACCCCTTTTTCCATGAGCGTCATAATTGTATAAAGACAGAAAATGACGAGGAAGGAGGGGAGAGGAGGACAACCTTCACACACAAAAGAAAAGACAGAAAAGAAACCTGGGCCCAATTTTGAATCTCCGTCAAAATGGCGCCCTTTCCCCGCTTCCCTCCTCCTTTTCCGACATGTTTTCATTTTCTACCTACGCAACTGGGCTATTCCAGGATGCTTCAGGAGCACATGACGTATCCCGACCCCCCACCCTTTCTTTTTCGTCTCCATTCTCTTTCACCTGGATGCCGAAGCGCCAGCGAAACCTTCACCTCTCGCTACTTGGTTCCATGTCAGTGTTCTTTCTTTTCTACACGGCGCAGCTCTTTACATGCCTGACTGTTAAACACACTTACCTGTTTTAATGTCAATTCAGTCCTCTGACTGTGATGACTGTTTCTGCTGAAACAGTGAAAAAACTGCTAAGCACGGCCACTGACTCCATCTCTAATGATGTCTGTGGGTTAAAGTGTTAAAGTCAAGGGATGGGAAAATGCCTTGAACGTGTGTGTGTGTGTGTGTGTGTGTGTATGTGTGTGTGTGTGTGTGTGCTGGTCTAGCTTACTTGTGGGGATACATTTGGGAAAGATTCTGTGGTTGTGGGGACACATTGTCCTTGTAGGGACATTTTGCAGGTCTTTACTGAGTGAGTAATTATTTTGAAATTCAAGGATTATTTTGGACTGATTAGGAGTTTGGATTAAGGCCTAAGATTAAGGACTAAGATTAGGCATATTTTATTTAGATTTAAGGAAAGGTAATCATTCTAGGGAATGCGGCGGGTCTGTGTGAAGTGCTCACACTGACACTGTAACAGAAAAAACCTGTGTGTGTGTGTGTGCATTTTTAAAAGGTAATGGAAGAGAGAATACGGGGTAATGGTGGAGAAAAATACCAATACTCAGAGGCAAAGAGAAAGGAGTCGCCACAAAGAAGGAGTTATGACCATTGTTGTGATTAGTTCTGTTTTTAGCCCTGCAGAGGTGCAGGTCAATATTCACTGCTACTACGCAGTACTGCGTGTGTGTGCGTGCGTGTGTGTGTGTGTGTGTGTCAGACAAGCAGAGATATTTGTCTTTTTTTATGTGGAAGCCTGGAAGCCTATCATTATACTACTGAGATGGCAGTACTGCAGTTGACCTGAACAACATCAACACACACACACACACATATACACAGATACACTCTCATTCTCATCGTATACATTGAATATCACCCACACACTCCTTGTGTTGTTGTGACATCAACACTGGATTTTACCTGCACTTACATTAGATTGACAAATATCTGAGGTTTGACTTCATATGTGTTTTATCTTGTGTTTTTTATATTTTGTGATGACTGTCAGCTGATGGCACAGACTCCATCTTTTATGTCACTTAAATTTAGTCTAGCATCTAACAGCAAGTTTTTACTTTGCAAATGTATTTTTTAAACTAGGATTTACCTCCATTAAAACCATTTAGAATGCACAAAGGATGTGTATATTAAACCTGTCACATGGTAAAACTTAATTTTCTTTTATACAGACAAAGCGCGGTGTGTCCGACTTGTTTTCTTTTCTGAGAGAGTAAGCAGATGTTGCTAGCTTTAACAATACATGCAGAAATGGTCATTAATGTAGTTAGAAAAAGTTAAAAAGTATATGAAATTTAACTTACATGTAACTATAAATGCTAGAATACAGAGTTAGCAAAATATTGGTGATAGCTAACAGCTAACATTTAGATAACACCTTAGAGAACCAACATTTCTAGAAATAATCAAATTCTAGCTAAGTTAGCCCTTTGCATGGCTAAAATCATAGCCAGAGTGGTTAGCTGAGATCATGACTTACAGCTACAAGTTGCCGGCAGTTTTCACAGAGTTGTTAATTCAAATGAAAGAATTTCAAAACATTTAAAATGAACTGAATTTGTTATTTTTACAGTTAAAAAAAATGCTAAAAAGTTGCATTCCATGCAAATAATATTTAGTGTAACTCATAATTAAAGTGACTTATCAATAAGTAAATTATTAGTAATAATTTGTTCATTGGGTCCTATATATAAATATCTCTGTGACACATGTTTGGTCTGTGACCCAGGCATTGAGAATCCCTGCTCTGTTATTCATGTGACCCCAGTTGAAACACTTCAACATAAACAGATCTTTATTCTAACGTCATATGTATTTTATATTTATATTCACGGTCTTTCACTAGTGGTTCATTAGTCATTGATGTAAATAAAATTAAAAATGATGAAACAGCCTTTGTTCTTATTACTCATACAACGTTTTCTTGAGCGTTTATCAGGAGCAGATGTGTCCTTTGATCCACTGTTGATAGTGTGCGTCTGAGAGTGATTCTCCTCCTACCTGCTCCGCTCACACCTGACTCCGGGTGACTCACTCTCCTCCTCCAACCCTCACATCTGCTGTTTCCTCCTGTTCTCTCCTCCTTCTCTCCTGAGGTCTGTTTCTTCGTCGTCTCAGTTCAGTCTTTGGCATTTTTATACATCTTTGCTCCATATCCTATTAAAACAACTATTATATTCTCTCTGTGTGTGTGTGTGTGTGTGTCTCAGCTCCCTTATTTGGTAACATTGTTGCTACATTTCAGCTATTTCAGCCTTAGATCTGATGTATAACTCGGGCTTGTTTTATTGTTGTTGTTAGCTAGCTTAGTTTTATATTAGCAAATTCAAGTTTTATATTTTGTGTTTTCCTAATTGCATTTTTCTGATGTCATTTCAAAGCTGTTTTAGCCTCCATTATGCTAATATCTGTGCATCTTTGGGTCTTGTTTTGTTTTTGTCCCTTTTAGCTCAAAGGCTATTTGCTTTGTTATTCTTCTCTAATTGTTATCAATTCTTAATTGGGTACCATTGGGCAGATTATGCTTAAGTTGGAGCTATCTCTTAGACTGCTATGTATTGCTTAGTTTTTGACCAAAACATTTTTTATATTTATGTGATTGCAGCTTAAGTAGATGAATAAAGTGTTGTTACAACAGTTAGCAAGCTGCAGCTAAAGGGTGACAAAAAGTAAAGGTTAGCCCTGAAAATTAGATGACTTAAGTGCAAGGTTTGACAAATAAAAAATAAAGTTATATAACGGTTATTTAAAAGTTAGCTAACGGGAGGCAATTATTACCAAACAACTGCTAATGGTTAGCCTAGATGATGAATGGAGAGAAATTTGTGGTGCTGGAAACGTATGAAAATGGGCCTTGAAAGTGCTTGGAGAGAAATTTGTGGTGCTGGAAACTGTGGTGCTAATTTTGACTTAAGAACAATAAATAAGCATCACAAATAAAAACCTGTGAATCATTAAAATCCAAATGGTATTTTAAGGTATATTTGAACATATATTTTAACGCATATTTTTTTTCTTTAAAAGGCTGAGAATCATGTGTCATTGACACATGACATCACTGCACCATTACGTGAACCCCTGAACTACACACACACACACACACACACACACCAGTAGTTGGAATATGAATTGATCTGTGTGTGTGTGTGTCTTTATATATATATATTTATATCTATTTATATTTCTCCGTCTGTCACAGCAGCAGTGTTAACGCTCTGACCCAGACCCACAAACACACACACAGTCCTGGCAGCAGCGGCGTTTCATCTGAACGCTAAATGTTAGCTCAGCTATAATACATTCATTGTCAGTTGTTTAGCATGGATTTAGCCTAAAACCCTGTCATTGTCGTTGCTATTGTGGCTGGAAGTCGCTGTGAGGCGAAGCCGGGCCTATTGTTCAGCCAAGGTCAGTCCGATTGTTCCAGAGGTCACGCATTGGGAATATTCAGGCATCACTGATGTCCAACGTTGGGAGGCGAAGAAGGAAATTTGTAGAAACATCATCAGAGTCAATGAGTCCAGATGATGACTTTGTCTTTTCACAGACGGACGACATGGGTCCATCAACCTTTATTATTATTATTTTATTTTAATTTCTTAACTGAATCTGAATTAGTTTTAGCCTGAAAATGAACGGTTCAGCCGTTCACTTGTTTGTCAACATGATTCTCTATAACCGAGCTGAACAACGTCCATCTCCACCGCCAACATCAGTCCACCCTCCCCCCATTTTCAGTGACCCCGTCTTCCTCCTCCCAAACGTATACGTACACTCATAAATATACATGCACACACACACACACACATATAGAAATATATATGCAGTCTGGTCCCGCCTGCTGCCTCTGTCGCGTCACATCGACCGGGGGGCTGGAACCCTGCACCTTGGCCTTTAAACCTTAACCTGTGACCTCTGTTGTCTGCGTCTGTATGGGCTTTGTGTGTGTGTGTGTGTGATTCTGTTATGTCTGTGTGTATTTTCCAGGGGACATAAGGCAGCTGCTGGTCTGGATCCAACAGAACCTGCTGAAGGAGCGCCCTGAACTCTTTATCCAAGGAGACACCGTGTGAGTGTTTCAGTTTGTGTTAGAGAGAGAGAGGGCGTGCGTATGTGCACTTGATACACACTTGACAAACATATCCCAACGGTAAAGACTAAATGTTTTTCACTCAGAAGTCTAGAATGTTTTCACCAGTTTTGAATGAACTTGAGGAGAACTCCTGAACTCCTTGAATCTCCTTGAATTTTATGCTTTGTTTAACGGTTTAAGTAAAAACCCTGAATATTAGGAGTGAAGTTGACAGTATTTATATTACCACATAGTTTTGTTTGGTAGGTGAAAAGTTAGTTCAAAGATAAACAAAGTATATTTTGACCAAGCAAGTGTTAGCAAATTAAGCAAAATTAGCCCCGCGATAGCTACAATTTTAGTCAGTAACTGAACAGTTAGTCAAGAAAGGCTACAATTTAGAGATGAATGTTGAAAATGTAGCCAATGTTTTGCCCCAAATTAACTAAAGGGGATTAAAAAATAGCCAAAATAGCTAACATTTGACCTAAAAGAGCTAAGAAGCTAAGATACCAGAAATGACCAAAATTAGCCAAATCTGAACGTGTCGCACAGAAAGCTAAGGGTTAGCCCAAATATAGAAACAAAGCACCTTCCAGGAAAAGGCAAACGGTTCAGAAAAGGCTGGAGGTCAAAGGTGAATCGAACCCACGACTGGTCATTTCACTGATGAAAACGCTGAGAAGGAAACGAGGACCACAAATGTACCTGAGCATGTGTATGTGTGTGTATCCATACGCGTGTGAGACACATATATGTACGTGTATGTGTGTGTGTTTGGGTCCAGGACACAGTGGTGTGTGACTTTTACTGCTGCCTTTGTTCAACACTATTTATAGCTGCAGAGAACCAGTGAAAAAGAGGCTACCTATAAACCTTTAGATGAGGTGTGTGTGTGTGTGTGTGT